TGACAAATGAAAGTGGTAGGGACACTCTGTATCAAGCTACCTGCGTACGTTCATCCCTTCTCAGCCTCACCACTCTTCATTTCATTAATTCATTGCTTTCTACATAATTTCATATTTGAAACTTAATATTTCCAAGTACTCATATGTACTTAAATAGTTTATTCTAACCATTTATTAACAAATATTTTCACACAAAGATCGATTAGAAATTAAATTCTTAATTATATTCATATATTTAAGAAATAAGATTATCTACTAATATATTTAAAAATGCAAAGATAATAACAAAAATATAAAAATTAAACAAAAATGCAAAGATAATAACTTGGATTTAATATGAGGGATCGGTCCAAAAAGATCATTTTAGCTAAACTCTTAAAATTTTGGTGAAATTATATTTTTATCATTCTATAATATCATATATATAACTTTGACTTTTTTTATTTTCAAATAAATAATTTTAGTCTTTCAATTTTATAAAATCTGTAATTTTGATTGTTAAAACTCTGATGTCACCGTGATTTAACACTATAAAAATGACACAATAGTTAATATTTAACTATATTCAAACTAAATTATAATTTTAATTATTATTTTTATTTCATTATATCACTTTTATGAGATAAAAATAAGGATTAAAAATAAAATTTAGGTTAAATATTATAAAATATTAATTATTATGTCATTTATTTAATATAAAATTATGAACGTTACACTTTTAATGATCGATGGATAAATATTCAATAAAAAAAATCAAACTTGCAAAATAAAACTGAAAGATTAAAATTATAAATTTAAAAATAAAAAAAACCAGAATTACAAATTTACTGTTAAGGTGTGACATAAAAAATTGTGTTAAAAAGGTCCATTTGGTATAATGAATTATTTTACTTTATTTATCTTTATCAAAATTTAATATTTCTTAAGATTTTGTGTATAATGTTTAGGAGAGTTTTGTATTGCCAGAATCGGTAAATTTTGTTCAAATTGATAGTATATTAAATTGGTTTAGCATAAAAAGCATCATGGAGATGCACCTCCACTAGTACTGAAGTGTATCCAAGTCAATTGCTAAGTTGGTCTTCTCCTCTTTCTTTCGATATTAAAAAGTTGAAGTGAATTAGAATTCCTTAACTCATCAAGATCAAGACAGACTTCAAAGTTTTATGAACATTTATAAAAGTATTTAGGGAGACTATTGTTTTACTAGTTAAAATATCATTCCTGAAAATGTGAGTTAGGAAATATATAATTCCCATGTTTGTTATAAGTTTTAAAATCTTATTTCTAAATATTATTTATTATCGAAAAAATAGTTATTCCATGTTTTAAACCATTTGATTCTCATGATGAAAGGGTGAGAAACTTATATTTTCATGGAAATATGAAATTTGTTATTGTCTAATTCAATTATATTTTTTATTCTAACTATTTTTTTTTTAATTTAATTGTTGTAAATTCTAAAATAATTTTAAGAATATTTAAACATAAACAAACTTATTTTTAACTATTTCTAGAAATAATGTTTCTGATTATATTATTCTTGAGAATCATAGTCCCAAGAATATATTATCATCCCGTAAAACAAACATCTTCTTACATATTACTTATTAACAAAGTTTTCATACTAATAAAAATTGAACTCACATCTTTTTAAAATATGAATTTGTTTCTTGCCAAATTTTACCGACCTTTGTTAGTCTTCTCCTTTTTTTTTTTTCTCTTTAAAGACTTCAAAGCATTTTCTGTGAGGACACATTAAGGAACTAAATATTATCATGATAACAAAATCGTGTATAAAGTCTTTAAGTTTAAATCTTACTATTATCATTGTAAATAATTTTTATTGATAAAAAAAATCGTGCAAGAGCTTGGTTCTCGACATCTTTACTCATAACTAAACATGCCTACATGTGCATACATCTAACAAGCATATGTATGCAAGAAAAGCTCATGTGCTATAAACTTATTTTAACAGTGGCACTTAGGACTTAGGAGCCACCTTGTGGTAGTGAACACAAATCATGGCAGCATAACCTAACAACGTCAACGTGCAGAGCAGAAAAATAATAGTTGCAAAAGCTTTTAGCACAAAATAATAGTAAATAATTGCAAAAGATAAGGGTAAAAATAATATTTCACGTTTGAAATAATATGTTACTCACTGGTCTTTTTTATAAAATTTAATTACTCAAGTCGCCACGATTAATTTTTTTTATTAATTTAGTTAATAACATTAAAGTTGTCATAAATTTATAATTTTTGCAAAATTATTCTTAACACTAGCAATAGACTTTGGGTTGTTTGACATTTTTTTCTTCTTCTTAAAATAAATGTTTTTTTTTTAAATAAAATAAACTTTTTCTATTTTTTATGTGTTTGTCTAAGCTTTTTAAACATTATTTTTTAAAAATAATCATTTTTCTAATTTAAAACAATTTGGGCCTATGATTAAATGTATTTGTTTTATAAAAATTAATGTAAAAATATTTTATAATATTTTTTTTATAAAAATCAAAGAACACTTATTTGAATCTTGTAAAAGTAATATGAGGGGAAGGTGGAAATACTTATTAATTAACTTAATTTGTTCAAATGAGCATATAGTAATAAGTAGGAATGCATTCTTTGTTTTTTAATAATAATTACAATGTAAAGATTCGATGGGTGATATGATTACGATGAGTCAAAAAGGAAATTGCATATTGAAGTTAAAAATGGAAATGCGTATCTCCCTTCCCCATATCATCACTAATAATCACTAAATTTGGTCGAACGCCGGCCCTCATGTGTATAACGTTTTCAGTAGTGTTCTTAATTATTAGACCATCCTTTTGTGAGTAATTTTATATTCTCAATCATAGAAGTCTTTTTTAAGACTTTTATTACATTTTTAATAGTACTATTAATTATTTAAGAAGTATCAATAACAATAGTTGCAATTAATAACAATAATTTAAATATAAAATCTTTAAGAAAATCACTCTTGTAAGTTACGTGTTATGTGCATAATTTTAAAAACCGGACCGGTTATCATATCGGTTAAAGTACTGGGTCAGTAGGTCAAAGGTTGAACCGGTGGGTCACTAGTTGAACCGCATGGCTCGATTTTTATTTAAAATTATTAAAAATATTCATATTAAATATATTTTATACTTATAAATTTTAATAAATTCATTCTTATTTTAAATTTCAAATTTTCTATCTTATTTAAAATTATTTTAATTTTAATTTTGTAAAAAAAAATATAAAAAATTACGTGTTAAACTGTATATTAATACAAATTAAAAATATAAATAATATGTACATATATAATATGCTTGCAATTGATATCATAAAATAATATATGTAATATCTACATAGATATTATATTATTAAATATATAATTTAAAATTAATAATATACTATAAAAGTTATTTAAGTTATATATATTATAAACAAATACATTAGAACAAGTAGTCATTGTTATATTTAATAAGAATCTTTGTTCTTCCATTAAGAGATTCAATTTTCATTATTATTTTTGTGGTTTATGGTCCCTTAAATTTTTTTTAAAAAAAGTGGTTGAATCGGTTTGACCCACGGGTTCACCGGTTGAACCGAAAAATTGACCGGTTCAATCCGGTTTGAAACGGGTCGACTGCATAACCGATTCAACTTAAGATTCGGACCGGCTGGACCACCGGTTCTCAGTCCAACCGGTCCAATCGGCCGGTTCGATCCGAGTTTTTAAACACTGTGTGACGATATCCTATGATCCTTAAGAAGTGAGGAAATAAAATGATATAAAAATAAAACATTCATAAAATGGGAAAGTGAGTCTTATTTTATATAGTGAATAGTAACATAATATAAACTTAAATTTGAGTGATTTAAACATTTTAAAATTGTAAAATTAAATAGTAGTAAAAAAATTCTTTATTTTTCATCTTTATAAAATTTAATTAGAATTATTGTTTTTATCATTATTATTATTATTATTATTAAGTAATCATCTTTTGCTACTTATTTATTTATTAAAAGGTTAAGTGATTATTTCAGGTGTTACTTACAATTGTTAGTGTTATACTATATTAGTATGTGACACCTCTAAAAAAAATGTATTAATTCTTAAAATAAATGTTATTTATATACCTTAATATATATAATATTTTTCTTAAGACTTTAATTTTATAATTTCATTTTCTAAAGAAACTTAGAGAGAAATTAGAGAGATAGACTCTAGAGTTACAAAGATTTTTTTTTTTTTTTGATTTTTTAGAAGCATTCAAACTCTTCCCTATAGCTGAGTGGTATTGTTAGATTGAAGATTTGTATCTTAGAGTGCTGAGGGTTAAGAGTCGAAGTCATGGTGTGGTGAAGCTCAGAGAAACATTCTTCGCCATTCATCTTCCTTTTTAATTTTTTCTCAATGAGATTTGTGTAACGAATCGACTGATTACCACACTTATTATGGAAAAATCGACGACAAATCAAAAGCTAAAGCATATATAAACTATTTAGACATATATATTAGCATGCAAAAGCAACTGACTATACCTATAAGGTAGTATGTAAGAAATACACAACTTACAAAACATCTTTTACATAAACTGTATACATCATAAACTCAAAATGTCTACATATAAAACCTCCTAGATTGTCAATCAAGTCTACACAAAAGATAACTTCGCCTAGAGGGGTTGTACAAAACAAGTCACCTCCAACATGACCTGCAAAACATCATTTTAAGCCAAGTACCTATTCTTGCCTTGCTTACATACCAAGTATGGTCATAACAATTTCAATTACTTGGAAAAGAAAGGTAAGCTTATGAAAAAACAATATACAACGATTACAACAAGGGTAATAAAAGAATATATCGACAATAGCATAACTCACAACATAACAACTTATTCAAAACTTATCAACTTCAAATTACTCAACATCTTAGCATATATATCACTACAAGAAAAAGTTAAATTTCCCACGGACCAAAATCCGTCGGAAATTTCCCACGGGCATCATATGAGAATGCAGCTTACCTTAAAGGTCTAATTACAAATCAATGGAAGGTATAGAATTCAAAAACTAACTTATTTTGTCTTCACCTTTCACTCTTCTCTCAGTTTAATCAATTTCTTTCCATTATGCCTCCCTAATTAGTTTTGTTTTCACACCTGTGTCCTCTTACAGATGCAATTCGTGGGATTTTATGACTGCTGGAATGGTGAGATTTAAAAATAACCAACCTCCACGTGTTCATGTATAAATTATAAGTTCCTAAGGTTCGGTGAATAGTTGAAAGTGTTAAAAATGTTAACTGTATGTTATTATTAGTCAAAGTGAAAGTGTATTCTCTCTAATACAGACAAATTTTAGTGCGAGAAAGATACACAATATTATGAGAAATAAGGTTTAATTATACTTTTTATATTTATATTTTATAATTTTTGCAAATTGAGCAGCTCAAATTTTAAATTTACATATTTTATAATTAAAATTATAAAAACTTTATAATTTTTTTATATTTTAATAATTAGTTTTAACATTATTAATGATTATTGATGTGATATATTAATTATTGATATAAACTAATAATATGACATATGAGTATGTTAACATATTAATTAAGTCGATTATTAATTAATATTGTCACATCACCAACTAACATAATAATAAAATGTATCAGTAGGTTTAGATTTTTTTTTTTATATAAAATATGCAAATTAAAAAATTTAGATAATAAAATTGTAAAAGTTAAAGAAAAAAGTTTTTAAAGTTAAAAAGACCTGAAATACATTTTACTCTTGATTGAACGATGATGAATATTAATTTTGGTTTTGAACCTGATGCACATGGCAGATTTTCAAGAAAAGGCGACGACTCAACTCTTGGTTCTCTTGGACAAGCATGAGGAGCGCGACACTTACGTGGTGGCTTTCCGAGGAACGGAACCCTTTGATGCAGATGCATGGTGCACTGACCTTGACATCTCGTGGTATGGGATTCCGGGCATTGGAAAAATGCATGGTGGCTTTATGAAAGCCTTAGGGCTACAAAGGAATGTGGGGTGGCCTAAGGAGATTCAGTGGGACGAAA